TTTGAAAATTTTCTCAATTTTTTCCATTTTTTAAATTGAGAGTTTTTTTTTTTCTAGTTAACTGAGAAAATTTTCAATTTTTTTCAGTTTTGAAATTGAGTTTTTTCCAATTTTAAAACTGATAATATTTTTAGTTAATATTGAAAAAAACTAAGAAGTTAATATATTGAAAAAAACTGAGAAATTTCTCAATTTTATTGAATACTTTTGCAAACTAAGAAATTGTTAGTTTTGTATAGCTAAAAAAAAAATATTTTATTTTTATGAAATTTTATATTCAATATTGGTCTTGTTTGATAGATCTCATTGTTGTAGGCTCAAAAAATATAATTTTTAGTAAAAATAAATATGTATAATGAAAGTGATGGATTTTTTAAGTTTTGAAACAACAAAATAAAAATAAATGCCACCTTAGCAATACCCACTTGAATAAGAGAAATTATGTATTACTTTTGAGGCATGGTTAGGTGGTTATCAAAGTATTTGTGATTGGTGAAAATGGTGCGACTCACAATTTTATATTGGGACATAAGGCATAATGGTTGGTGATTGGTAGATAACATTATCATGTGGTGCACTTGTAATACCTAATAATTTTTTTATTAGTACTCAATGAATTAACGCTTCTCAATTTCTTCCGCCTTTTAATAAGGATAAAATAGTCATATATATACATAAATATTTTCAAAATAAGACTTTATGAGTTAAAAATAATAAATCAAGACTTAATGGAATATTAACCTTATCAATAGGATTTTTAATAATTAATTCATTATTAATAGTTTAACAAAAAGAAGTTTCGTGGAGATCCATGGTACAATAATTCTTTGATGTAACAACATTGGTTCAAATACTTTATCTCATCAAATAATTTCTAGAGAGTGATGAAGAGATTTCTTGGTAACTTCCTTTCAGCTTCTATGTGAATAACGCAGTAACTTGCAGGAAAAGGGGCAAAAAAAAAATAAAAAATAAAACCTTTATTTAACAAGCTTTTTTAGTTGAGCGCTAAACACGAAAGAGGGGTCTCTCTCCTCTCTACATTTGAGTTTCATGCGTGAAGTGATAGTGGAGAGGGAAAAGAATATTGAGGTAATGTTTGCTTCTCTCTATCAGCACCTCTTTCATTATTATTTAATATTACTTTTTTATTTTTTTATAGGAAAATCAATGTTCAATTGTTAGATTAGTATATGGGGAATTGAATTTCCACCATATCCTTGCAATTATTTAGCTCTTGTCACCCATTCCATTCCTAAGAATGTAACCCAAAAGAGCAATGGTAGAGGGTCCAAATTCTGTGGCTCAAATGTGGCTCAAATGGCCAAAACGACGTCGTTTTGAGTACAAAACAACATCAAAATGGCCAAAACGACGTCGTTTTGGCCATTTGAGCCACATTTGAGCCACAGAATTAGGGCCCCCAAACATTTTTCAACCCAAAAACTTCCCTCAAGAAAAATTTGGTGGCCAAAGACATCCTTTTGTTATTTAATTAGAACTAATGTAATTTGTTATGCATGGAAGTGTAATGCAATAATGTGCACTTAAAGTCAATCCTGAGTTGAGACGATAAAAGTGGCCACCTCGGATCTCTAAATTTTTTAAGGGCTAAGGTTAGGAATTATACCGCGTTAATTCATATTCATGTCAAAATCATTCATAAAGTATTTGATTTCAATCAATTGCATTTTCTTAATTTAAAAAAAAAATTCATAGCATATTATTATACTTTTTAACTAGATTGACTCTAAAATAAGTTACAAAAAAAAAAGGGACAAAATCTACTTTATCCCCCCTATGATTTAAGCCATTTACATTTTATCCCCTATTATTTGGAAATAATCACTTACCCCTTGTGATTTTAGTTGTTTTGTAATTTACCTCTCTGTCATTATTTATTTCAGCTAAATTAACAAAATTTGTCATATACACACATAGAAAGATAGAATAAGTATTTTAGAAATATAATGTAAAAAGTAGGAGTGAGCGGCGGATATACCGATCCGCAAAAACCGACCAAACCAAACCGATCCGTCGCATTTTGAACGGATGTGTGATAACAAGCGGACGGTTGCGGATTGATTTTTTCCAATCTGCTAATCTGGCGGACGGATGGCGGATTTGAGATTATTTTGGCCGCAACCGAACCGCCAAATCGTGAGTGTCCCTAGTAATTTATAAGACTTTATATTTTCAGTTTGTTTAAATATTCTGTTTGTGTTTTCAATTAAAAAAGAGTTTAAATATTCTGTTGAAAAAAAGTTTTCAACTTGAATATCTTTTTTGAATTGAAAAAAATAAACGTATTATTTATCTATATTTTTTTATTTTTAAATCTATCTCTAAAAATAATGAATAGAAAATATGATATATGCTGGTTGATTTTTTTTTTTCAAAAACAGATATAGATGTAACAATACAGAGGCATACAATCTCTACTACTTCTTTGTTCATGGTTTTGGTGGTTTGAATTGCTTTTCTATTTTAAGAATCACAGATTGTAATACTTTATGTCAATAAGGCATGCTGTAATTGTAGCATGTGGATGAGGCATACAGTGATTGTGATATTCTAAAGTTTCAAACTTTCTAGCTTTGGATGAGGCATGCATTGATTGTAATATTCTTTTAAGTCATTGATTGTAATACTTTCTTCTTCTTTTTTTGAGGAAGTGCACAAGTTGAATTATGTTGAAATTTATAAAATTTTAAACCGCCAAACCGACTTGCATCCAACCGCCAAACCGCCAATCCGCTCAATCCACATTCGCCGGATTGGCGGACGAATGCGGATTGTTTTCTCCAATCTGGCGGACGAATGGCGGATTGGAGGTTCCGTAGCCGCAACCGATCCGTGCCCACCCCTAGTAAGAAGATACATTTGTCCAAAATTTCATTTTCTCCGCTATCATCTTCTTTCCTAATCTAACCCTAACTCTGAAAACCTTAACCCTAACCACCTTCTCCTACCTCCAGCCACCTCTGTACCACTACCCGTTGCCACTAGTCACCTCCCCTACAACTTCAATACACCAGACCACAGAAGAAGCAAACAATGAAGCTCTACCACCACTACCTCCTCTATCTTTCTCTTCACCGCCATCGCCACTACTACCACCACCACTACCGCCGCCGTCGTTGCCACTTCGCCACCAAATGCAGCAGCAGAGTTGTTGTCAAAGCAAACAACGGCCACTCCTTTGCCGCCGAAGTCGACTCCCCCAACCTCCAAACCAACACCAGATGCTACACTCTCTCCCGACCTCATCTACAAATTACCAAAAGCCTCTCCTTCTACACCACCACCACCTCCAACCCCTTCTTTGAACTCTCCAACTACCTCCAAACCCTAACCCTAATCCTAACCCCTCCAAAGCCTCTGAAATGGGAGCATCTATTTACACACACCAAATACCCTCTTTGCACATCCTTCTCACTACACACACGAAAAAAATTAATTCCTAATTAGTTTACTCACTACACACAAGGTTCATTCCACATCTACCCTCATACACACACACACACACACACACACACACACACACACACACCCCCGACCCCAAACCCAACTCTCCCAACGGTACAAATACACACACCCATTAAAGCTGAGCTACATCTTCAACCTTGAGGATATACACACCCATTGAAGCTTACCGTGTGCAAATACATTGAAGCATTCCATCACATAGAAGCTTACTGTGTGCAACCCAGGTGTGCAAATACATTGAAGCATTTCATCCACGAAGCTGCATCCCATTGAAGCATTCCATCACATTTTCAATCCTCATTAGGTGAGTTTACTTTTGAATCATCATTCTTATTTAATTTGCAACGTAGAGTTTTGTTTTTTTCATTTTGAAAACGAACGAAGGCCCACGGATCATAAACAAACCGTTCAGAACTGGGTTTCCGAAATTAAGGAATTTGTAAGGAAGTAGGAATCTGAAATTGATGTTTTGTTTCAATAATGGGTTTCCGAAACTTTTTGATTATTTCGGCAGTCAACTTCCGAATACATTAAATTCAAACAACAATCAACTTCCGAAATTAATTTTTTGTTTCAGATTTCAACTTCCGAACAGTATATATACTTTCAGTTTTCAACTTCCGAACAGTGTTTTTCTTTTTTTTCTCTCTCCCTTCTTTTGTGTATTATTTTTACATTTGTGGTAATCTCATATTGAGCTTCAATGGCTACTAACATGGAATTGAAAAATCGTATAGCTTTGTTTGGGGATAGAATTAGGGAATAAGAGCATTAGTAATGCACTAGGATCGATTATTTTTTTTTAATTTTATTTTGTTTGGGTATATTAATTTTTGCAGAGAATATGGATTTTGAATATCAACAACGTGTCCCACCTACTGCTTCAAATAGATGACGTAGTGAATTGGATGTTGACCATGAACGGGGACAAGGGCGTGGGCGAGGATGAGGTCGAGGTCGTGATCCAGTTTCGGTAGAATATGATATCCCCAGTGCCAGTCAAAGTAGAAGCCGAAGCCAAAAACGAGTTGAAGGTGATGATATGCCTGACATTGCTGTGGAGGACGCCTCTTTACCCGATTCTCCTACTGTCCAGGAAGAGTGCCTTACTCATGCTTTTCCAGGTGGACCGACTGATCCATCAATATTGCAGAGTTTCAATAGTCATGTGGCTGCAGCTATTTGGCACGGGGAGGTAAACATTCCTCAGTAAAAGTGAAATTCATTTGTATATGAGTTTTTTTTTTTTTTTTTGTATGGTAGTTTCTAATGAGATATCATTTGTGTTATAGGAACGAGGGCCCCTAAAGTGTCATAATCACTCTTCCAAGATTCTTGCATGGCCATGGTGGTCAGTAGAGAACAACACCAGATTCAAAGCCATTATTAAGTAGTCTGGGCTGTCACAGTTAGCTTGTTGCACTTATCAGTTCGTCAACAAGCTTCTAATCTCCAGTTTTGATGAGAGATGACAACCTGAGACGAACACATTTCACATGAAAGTTGGTGAGATGACCTTAACCCTGGATGATGTTGGCACTATTCTTGGCCTTCTCATTGTAGGCAAATCAGTCAGCGTACCAGATGTGACAGATCATCATGGAGTTACATTACTCATTTATGGCTTGGGGATTACTGAACGTGCAACACATGAAGAGGTTTCTTCTACTGGTGGCAATTTAGTCAGGCTTGAGTGGTTGCGAAGTCAGTTTGCTGGTGTCACAGATTCAGACCCCGAGGAGGCTATACAGTGCGCTGCTAGAGCTTATTTGTTGTTTCTGTTGGGATGTACACTCTTCAGTGACAAGAGTGGTGACAGGGTTCCTGTTGTTTACCTTGGCTTATTGATGGATTTGGGATCCATTCATACTTACGCCTGGGGTGCTGCTGCATTAGCATTTTTATACAGACAGTTGGGGTATGCTAGCTGGTCTGGGGTTAAGCAGATGGGTGGTTATATGACTCTTTTGGAGGCGTGGATTTATGATCACTTTCGAGCATTTCAACCTCACCAGAACATGGGCTACAATGAAGACATGCCACACGTGTACCATTGGCCATCTAGGAGAGAGACGGGTTCCTCCATTGATCATTTGAAATCTTTTCGAGCCGAGCTTGACAGTTTGGTAGCTACTGATGTAAGTTTACTCATCCTAAGATAATTTTAACACTTTCCATTTATCTTACCCTTTATATACTTTAATTCAAAAACACTTTACGTTTACAGGTTATTTGGGATCCATACCACAGCTGCAGAGACCAGCATCCATGTAACCCGGTTACGTTGTACCATGGATGCTTAAAGTGCTTAGACGTTGTCAAACCCTATCATCCAGATAAAGTTCTGAGGCAGTTTGGCAGGGTTCAAACCATCCCAGATTCACCGCTAGCTCCCAGTCGTGGTGCACGAGGCAACATATCCGCACGATATACAGTCATGTATAGATACTTGGATAGGATCTGGGAGGCTTGCGATAACAACGTGTTATCTAAGCAACGGAGGAGCACACCAGTTCGTCAGCCTTGGGAATGTGTACCAGGTTACATGGATTGGTATAAGAATATCACGCACCTATATGTTGAGCACATTGATGAACCGCGTGTCCATGACCATCAGGATTTCAGCGAACATGCGGATGCAATCTATTATCCTCTCTTATGCATATGTAACTTACTTTTTATTTTCTGATATGTTCCCTAAAATGTGATATTCTTTTCAAATGCAGCGTATTGCACATGCACTGCAGATTTCACATCCTATTATTAACGCTGGTTATGAGGAGGGGATTCGACATCCTTATCGACTCTACCAGGCTATCGAGAGTATGACGCATGTCCTTGAAGGTCAGCACATTGACGAAGCTGGACCTAGTTCTGCTAGACCTACTTATACTGGAGGTCGCTTTCCATCTTCGACATTGACATACAGTCGTAGGCCTAGGCGTAGGCATACAGCTGATTCGTGACATGTTATTTGTTAGTTGATGAAGTTTTTTTTGGTGATTTTTGTAAGATGATATTGTTGTAATGGTAACAGTGGTTAACATTTTCTTATTACAATGGAATGGCAACAATGGTATTGTAATGACATTGTAATGACATTTTATTATTAGAATGGAATGCTAACAATGGTCGTTGATTTTGTAAATGATATTTTCTTATTACAATGGAATGTTAATAATGGTTGATAACATTCAATCCACATTGCAAAACAGAACACATCAACATCAAAAACACATCCATTAATTTCTTCCATAATTCTAACATTGTCAAATGCATACATGTGTCATGCGACATCAACAACATCAAATGTCTCTTGAGTAGCTACATTATCATGAATAATGTCCTTGAAATGTTGAATGCGACGAACATATGCATCATCCCAGTCGACAGCGCAAGGGTGGCGGTATTTTCTCCAATTAATGGCTATAGGAGGAACTAGATGGCCTGGCTGCAACAAAACCTGCACCAAATATCAATTGACTTAGTGGTCATACCTCTTAACTTCTTGTACATGCACAAACCCAATTGATAAGTTTCTGTTATACCTGGACGAAATGATTTCCGTTGACAAACCCAATGGCAATCTCACGTCTATCAAGTTGAGGTACTGGCACTGTTCTAAGTGGTAAAAAGGTGAGACATTGCCGTAATGACAAGTGGTATAACACAAGATTGTAGCACGATGCAACAAGATGCCCCATGTCTGGCATAGTCATCCAATGTGAGACTTGACATGAACCCAATTGTCTTTTAAGTTTTGCATGTGCACTCTCAGCCCTGTTGAATTCAATGTAAGTCAAGTTAAAATCAAGTACATGGCACTTATTAATAACATATTGAAGGAAAGTAATCTTACCGGTTCGTTGTAACATTGCCACAATGCATACACGTGTCTGTCCATGCCGCCACAAATTTGTCCTTGTAAGGAACCAACCAAGTATCCATGACGTATTTCACTGCATCAGGATAACTACTGAATTCCTTAAGTAATGATTTAAGACGCTCATTGTATTGAATTTCAGAAGATGAATACACTACAGAGTTCCACTCATGGTTGAACTTCTCCCATTTCTGCTGTGTCTCAAACATTTTCTTGCATTTGGTCAACACATTCTTACTGATATGCCAACGACATAATAAATGTCTGGTACTCGGGAATATCTTTTGTATGGCATTCATCAAGGCTAGCTCTCTGTCAGTAACAATAATTGTTGGCACAACAAACCCATCCATGACATCACGTAATGTAGCTAACACTCACGCATAGTTATCGACCCTCTCATACTGTAAGTATGTGAAAGCTACAGAGAATGTCATTTCAGTTGATGTCACTCCCACAATTTCAAGAAGAGGAAGCCGATATCTATTGCTTTTATATGTGCAATCCATAATTAATATACATGGGAAAGATCGAAATAAGTCCAAACTAGTAGGATGTGCCCAAAACAAGTCTGTCACAGTCATCGTGGACTCTTCAGACCGATGGCGCTCAATGTAATTATACTTGGCCAATTCACCTAATAAGTGTTGCATCTGCGATCTTCCAGCTCTCTGTACCACCCTGTTTCGATGGCGTACATTGTAAATGGTTTTAAGTGTGCTTACATTGAGGGCATCTCGCTGTTTCAAGGTTACTAGGATTTCTTTTGGCTGAACCATGCTCTTTGACATATCCATTAACAATGCTTTCTCATCCTTTGATAGCCTCCCCGCATATGAATGTCCCTCAAGGTGCTCCGCAGGTGGATGATTATGCAATCCGCATACTACGGTCAATGTCCATTCATCATGTGTGGTAAACCTGTGAGCCCTCATATCAAAAAGACAACCACACTTCTTTGTACCGGTTATTCTTGATGTATTGTTGCCATCATGTTTTAACTTCTTTGTTGCTCTATATTGGCCACTCCTCTCACAAGCAAGATACATCCTGGGTCTTTTTTTCCCTCCACCATAGTCTGATATTTTGATTACAATGACCAAACCATTTCTCTTTCTAACTTCACGTACCTAGTTGAGCAATTCATCCTTACTTTTGAATACCTACAAAGTTAAATAAATATTATCCAACATTTACATTTGGTGAGCAATTCGAAACATAATCGTTATAATTTTGTAGAGTGAACCTGTTCAGTTGTGAATTGAGTGGTGTAATCTAACACAAAATCTGCGCAAACCTGACTTCCTGGAGTTGACACATATTCCTGCATGTTTTTGTAACCAGTCCGCGGGGGACCTCGCGCTACAGTTCGGACTTGATTTGTGTCACGGTTCTTGATCTGAACCAAAGAGTCCAAATCCGGAAAATCGTTTTGAGAAACAGATTTTTTTGAAAAGAAGTGCCAAACATGGACTGCTTTGCCAGATACAGAGTCGCCACCTAAATATTTTTTAATGGGGGAATTTAGGAAACCCTGACTCGGTGCCGAAGGCCACATGTCCGTCATCACCGGAGTTGTCTCGGCTCGGGAGCTTGGGTACGATCGGGGAAGGTCAGCTATGAGCACCCCCTTTCGCCCGGTCTGAAGACCGGCCTCTACTAACCGTGATATCTGATTTTGAAAACGTTATGTGTTCTTATTCCGGTTATTAGCCTAGAATTACTATGTTATGCGCACAGCAAACAAGTATAGACTAGATTGCCTAATTTGGAAACAAGCAATTGCATATCCGTTTGTTTTGAAAAGCGCTTTGGAATTTGCTACTCGCAAGTAGGCTAAAACACGGATTTCAATGAGTTTTTCCAACTCAAACAATCCAACCTTCACCCACAGGCATTCAAACGATTTATCATATAAGCATTTAGCCGCATGGCAAGCATACTGTCATCGCAACACTCACACGCATGCGGGATGCTAAAGCATAAATACTTACATCGTACTCCGTGCCAAAACAATAAACTAGTTAGCAAACATGCATGTCCTAGTTCATGTTAAGAATGGCTAATGCATCGCGTGCCAAAATGCAATCTAGACAGGCTCGGCTAACCTGAACATGGCATGTGAAATGCGATCAACTATCACATGTTCAATTTTTGAATTGAAGTACAAATGCAGTTAGCGTGATGTACCGAGCCTAATGCATGCAACACAAATGCATGAATGCACGCATGCATAGCATAAGGTATGCTAAATTAAACGTGTCCTAATACTAACCACCAAAGCACGTAAGTAAAAGGGAAGAAAGAAGTGGGAATTGGAAGACATACACACCACTCACACACACTTATTACAGATTTGCCCTCACTCGGAGGGACCAAATAAATAATACAAATTAATTAACTACGCAAGCTAATTAAATATTACAATTTACCTAATTAGTTAACAAACTAACTAAGCTAGGGAAAACAATAAACCGCCCCGGGAAGAGAGCCGGATGCAGCGCATGCTCGGTCCTGCTCGGAAATGCACCGCCATGCATAGGCTGCCTCTGTTTTCCTTCCTTCACTCCTCTGGAGGTTGTCAAAACCTCAGGACTGCTTCCTTGGACATTGGGGAACGCCACCGGCTGAATGGGATTGCCACCGGCAGTGGGATGTGGTCACCGGCCATTGGTGAAGCTATCGGCAGAGAAGGGATTGCCGGTCGGCATTGGTCACTGCCGGTCGGCAAAGTGTTCCTGCAGAATCTGCAATTGACAGCAACAGAGGGCAAGGCAAAGCATGGCAGCACAATTCAAGGCATATATGCACCAATCATGTCCCTTATCATGGTAATGACTCAAAAGGGCATGTGTCTCGATTCTCGGACCACCAATCACGCATTTCCATGCATGATGGCCCAAGGAATCAAGTGTGCAATTTTCATGTCAAATGAAATGCAAACCAAACAAACAAACCAAGGCCCAATTCCTATCACCAAGTCAAGGAACAAGGCATGCATGCGAGATGTTATGCAACCTAGGCATACAAGCTAAGGATGCAACATAGCATGGCAAGGCACTTATGCAAGCATACAAGCAAACATGAGGCAATGCAAATGGATGAAAAGATGGACTTATACATGATTTAGGCAACTCTAAATAGGCCTAAAACAGTGGCCAAAGTGACCAAAATAAAGGACCAAAACACATACACACATGCACATGTTAAGTGGCCAACACTTGGGCACAAAAGAGGGACTCTCAAGCACACTTGAAAAGGGATAACATGGACAATTAGCATGCAACATAAGCTCTGAAAATCATGCTAAGATGGTGCCAAACCAAGTAAACAAAATAGACCAAGCATGCAATGAATGGCTCAAGTACTTGAAGCGAGTCAAAGGGACTTGAACCATGACTAAGTCGACCAAGCCTCACAAGGCTAAGAGGACTTAAAATAGGTTCAAGACAGACCTAGACCATGCAAAGGGGACTCTTAGATGGCATCTAAGTGGCTCAAATTCAAAGGCATGCGCAATGGCCAAAACATGGAGCATACTACACAAGCTTTTAAAGCATTAAAGAGGCATTCAAGGCAAACATATAGGCATGCAAATGGGACTGAAATGACATGGTGGATGGTTTCAGATCACCAAATCAATACAAAGATGTCATGCTATACATTCACATACTTGAGGCATACAAGCTGGAATGCAAAGGGGCTATACTAAGCATGCTAAATCTGACCCAAACAACTATGGACAGACCTAAAACATGGCAAAATATGCACAAAAGCTTCACAAGACTAAGCCTAAAACATGCTTGAACAAAGGCTAACAACCTAAGGCATATTAAGGCAATAACAAGGCATTACATGGTAGGTATGCTAAGCATGCATGGTGTACCAAAACCAACAATAACCAGAGGCATATCATGGTATAATAGGCACAAAAAAAAGCCAAGGCATGGTCAACATGAAGCTTAGCTAGGTGCTCCCTCAAGAGGCCCAAAAATGGTCCATTTCAAGGACAACAAGGAGAGGGGGTGGCCCTCCCCTTTTGGAGACTTCGAGGCACCATCTTCACCACTGAAATCCCTCAAG